ATAATGGAAGAAAGGAATGGGCGGCCTCTTACGTAGTTGCTTGTGCCCACGCTGCTTTCTCCTGCAAGCCATGGGTGTCGCTGCGATAGTATTCGTAAATCTTTTGTATGTGGTCGCCGCATTTGCTGCCAAGACGGAAGGTATGATATGAAGAATCGTCTCTGCGCGCACTAACTCGCACGCGTCCTTGCGTCTAGCCTCACAGATACGCTGCCAGTTGATGCTCAGGAAAAAACGTTGAAGGATGTAAATATTTTTATTGTTATGAAATGTCCTCAACTGTTTGCAGATACGGCGCTTCATGATGGGGTAAGCAGCAATTTCCGACGTTCAATGCTGCAGCAGCAGAGCACGGGTACCAACGATACCTTGACAGCTGTCACATGTAAGCATTATCGGCGTGCTGAAGAAAACGGATCTGGGATGCCTTAATTGTAGAAGGATTTTGCGCGCCGCGGCCCTTAGCCTAGCTATGTACACGCACACACATGCGCCCATCCTCCTGGCCTGCTGCCTGTCGTTAAGGTTATTGCATGACGGAAGATATACGTCTCTGGGGTCATGCCCTCGAGGGTTCGGCCTGACTCATACATGCCAAAGTTATCTAGCACAAAGCAAGGCGAGTGTGTGTGAGTGTGTGTGGTTGTTACAGTGGGCTCCAGGCTCAGGCGAGTGATGCAGCCGAAAGCTCCTAGCTGCGTATGATTCTGCTGCCATACAAGCACCTACAGAGAAAGAGTGAATAATCTGCTGCTGCTGCTGCTGCTGCTGCTGCAAGACCGGTAATAGACAGATAGGGTAAGCAGGTCCAATGGAAAATGGTAATGCTCAGTCAAATATGCAATCCAAGCCAGTGTGCCGCTCAACCACATGCACATGCGCCCTGCCCCAATCCGTTAGATAAGGAAAGCCAGGAGGTGCTCCAAAGCCAAACACTCCATCCCGCGGCGGCGGCGACAGGGTCATCGTTTTACTTACTCAACATACATACATGTGTGTATGTTGTTACAGGGTGGTTAAGCTTCACCGGCGGCCCCCTTTCCCGAGGCAGTTCCCTGCTCTCCCCTGCAGTGATTTTTTTTTCATTTAGGGGGGGTCTCAATTTATTCCAACCTAAGTAACAAAGTTGCTAGCGTCGCCGTTATGTATTCCTTAAGAGTGGGGCGCTGG